TGTGGGTGTGGGTGTGGGTGTGGGTGTGGGTGTGGGTGTGGGTGTGGTGTGGGTGTGGGTGTAGGTGTGGGTGTGGGTGAGTGTGAGTGCAGGTGTCCCTTGTTTAAAGGTAATATCCACACCCACACCCACGCCCGCACTCTTAGTTGTTTCATGTGTTCTAAATAATGTGTTTCTTCCCATGTTTTCTACTACGAACAAAATGCGACGCAGTTATGACGTAACTCCGATCGCACTGTGACTTTGTAATTGCAATGCAGTTGCGCGTAAGTGCATCGCAATAATCGCCATTTTTTGCAATTGCGACGCAACAATCGCATTGTCGTGTATTCATATTTCGATACCATCCATTGTGTGGGTAAATGTATTATGTTTATATCACACACACACCCACACCCACACCCTCAAGACTTGATAAAAATTATCGAAGTACTTGATCGTGATAAAGATTTTAATATAACATTTTCCGAATGGCAAACATATTTTCGTTTTGCACCATTAACTGAATTAGAAGCATCACTTCGTTCATGGCGTCATGGTGTACAATTAGATACAATTAATGAACAACAAATGCCTAATTCATATACTGAAAAAGAACGTGAAAATGGATTTTATGCTTGACATTTTATTGCTAGTGCACTTTCAGGCATGGTTAGTCGAACTGTGGCAGCACCATTAGATCGATTAAAAATTTATATGCAAGCGATGGGAAAGAAAAAATTATTAACAACAGCAAGGTATAATTATATTAGTTTTTCAAATGAAAAATTTAGTTTTTTCTTCAATATATTTTATAGTACTCTGTATGGAGAAGGTGGAGGTGGTGTTAAAGGTATTCGATCATTTTGGCGTGGTAATGGTATTGCAGTATTTAAAATGACACCAGAAATGGCTCTTCGACAAGGCATTTTTGAAACATTCCGTGAACTTCGTGGTGATTATGATGAAATTGTATGTGAATATTTTTGTTAGATAAGAATTCTTCACATTGTTTCTTTTTTTGTATGTAGATTGTATCACTAGTAACTAATAAAGAATTATTTGGTCTTGGTTGTCTATCTGGTTTTATAACTAAAACATGTATTTATCCATTAGAAGTGCTTAAAACTCAAGGTAAAAAAAGGAAAGTTTGATAATTATAGTCTATAGAATAATTATTTTCAGCTGCTATGCGAACAACTGGACAATATAGTTCTATAATGGATCTCATTCGAAAATTATATAGAAGTGAAGGTTGGAAAGTATTTTATCGTGGATATTTTGCAAATTCTCTTGGAGGTAACAAAAACGACAGAAGTTCGAAATAATTTATAAAAAAAATGAATTTTTCTAAATTTAGTATTTCCTGCTGCTGGTATTGATTTTGCTCTTTATGAATATCTTCGACGAGTCTATCGAGAAAAAGTTACTTCATTAGAAGAACCAAGTATGTACAGTAATTTTCTCAAAATACAAGAAATATTTTTATTTCAATTGACATAGGTATTCTAACTTTAACAATGATTTCGAATGTGAGTGCTCTAGCTGCAATGTATGCATCATATCCATTATATCTTATACGAACAAGACAACAATATCAGATTGTACCAGAAAATATGTTTGAAATGATGGGTAGAATATGGAGGTATGTAAAGAATTGCATTCATTTTCTTATATTCATTTAATAACTATTAGAATTGATGGATGGCGTGGTTTCTACTTTGGTTCATTACCGAATCTTGTCAAAGTTTTACCCGCATCAACAGTCGCCTATTTAACATTTGATTATTTTTCAAGTCTATTTGATATTGATGAATAAGTATAGTCTATTTTTTTTGTACGCAACTTATTTCTTTTCTATATAGTCTAGTATATTTATATTCCATAATATATATGGAACTAATAATCTCTGATATTGACAAAAAACAAAATGCAATAAGATGATTAGAAATCATCGTTTTTTTTCCTACTGTATCTGTTATTGCATGATCAAACTTTTGTGTATGCATTATTTTCTTACGTTTTTTTTTGTTTCGTTCTCAAACGAAAATAGTCAATGTTTAGTAAAACTCAATATATATATATATATACAAGCTATCGATTTAGTCGATGTGATAATAAATAATAATTTCAGATGGACAATCCTTTACATCGAGCTGGGAAAACAACATCAATGAATGCTGATTCAGGTGTTCAAGTAAAGATTAACTTCAACGAAGCGTAAGTATTTTCAATATGTTAATTAATATAAAGATTTGATCATATATTTAGTGTCTTATCTGTTGATGACAAAACATCAGCAAAACAAACTACAACTGAGTACTTCCAATCAATGAATGTTTTTTGTCTTTTTTATTTACATGATATTATTTAAATAGTTTATATCGATACAAACTTCGTCGTTTCATTGAAACCATTGGCTTTCGACTTACTATTGCACTATTATTTATTGTTGATTTAATTATCATTGCTATTTCGATAGCAAAAGGTATTTATTACAAGAAAAAAAGAAACATAACCAATATCTGAGTTTCTTTCTATAGAGGAGCCATCGTACAAATTGAATATGATTAGTACAATTTTATCTGTTATTTTTGTGATGGATATTAGTCTTCGTATTCTTGCTCAAGGGTAAATGAAAACTATTTCTATATTTTTAATTCTTCTTTTTTCATAGGTCGGAATTTTTCCAGAAGAAATTAGAAGTATTTGATTTAGTTGTCATGACTGCTGGTCTTATTGTTAATATTGTACTTTTGTTTGATGATGGCCATAAAGCACAATGGGGAAAGTATGTATATATCTGACAGGAGTTCATTAAGTATTGAGATAGTATAGTGTATTTGAATAGTTAATCATGAGTATCTCAGTAATTAAATTCAAGATCAATACATGAATACTTTCATTATCTATATATTATTTTATTTTATCATAGACTCATTGTTGTAGCGCGTATATTTCGTCTTGTTCATTTAATTCGAATAATACGTATTTTGCAACATCGAGAACATTTTAAAACAGGTTCTCGTCATTTAGTTGGGCAAAATAAAAAACGAACTATTGGCAATGGATTTGATCTTGATTTATGTGCTATAAGTGGTAAGTTTATTTTTATATTTCTTCATAAATATATATATACATGTAATATCGAATAAATATTGCAATAAAAAATATATACTCCATACACCTATTTAGATAGAATTATTGCTATGTCATTTCCAAGTAAAGGCAAAGATGCTTTTTTTCGAAATGATATTGTTGTAAGTGATGGGCGTAGAAAAAAGAGATTGGGACATGCACTTACGATTTCTATTATTGTATACACTGATTTTTTCATATGACTGTAATCGTTTTTTTTGCTCATACAAATATATGTATATATATACCGTGTGAATGATCGAGCTCTGACATATTTAATATATCGAAAATTGATTAATGACCTATAAATTTTTAATTATTTTAGGATGTTGGTCATTATCTTGATATAACTTATGGGAATCATTATCGTGTATACAATCTTTGCAGTAAGATATTTTTGTTTCTTATAGATTTATAAGTAAAGAAAATGTTTAGGTGAACGTTTTTATGATACAACTTTCTTTCATAATCGAGTTGAACGTATTCTAATTGATGATCATAATGTACCAAGATTAAAGTAATAGAGACAAAAAATTAAGAAAAGCTTCTATGAATTCATTTGATATAGTGATATGATTCGTATGGCAGATTCAGTAACTGCATGGTTTGAAGAAAATGAAAAAAATGTTATTGCTGTTCATTGTAAAGGTGGAAAAGGTCGAACTGGAACAATGATATCAGTTGCTTTATTGAGAAGTGATATTTGCGAAACAGCCGAGGTAAACATAAAATATTATTATAGTAAAGCATAAATTTATCTAAATCTTGGTATCTAGAAAGCAGTGGATTTATTTGCTGAAGGACGAACAGATTTACGTCATGGTAAACAATATCAAGGTGTTGAAACACCATCACAAATACGATATGTTGGTTGTTATGATAAAATTCTTCATATTTATAATCACGAAATGCCACCAACGAAAGTCGTAACATTAAATTCAATTGTTATTACAGCAACAGCAAGTAAATAAATTTAATTGAATAAAATATTGATTTATTCTATAATATTTATTTTCTAGGTATTGGAAATGGTGATGGTAGTGATTTATTTTTTACAATTAGCAATTACGATGAATTATTGGGAAAATTTCAGTTACGTCAAGATAATCAACTTGATACGAATTCTTGCAAAGTAAAAGACTTCTTTTTAATCATTTTTATTTAATTTTTTATTTTAGAACGAACATAATAGAGAAGAAGATAAAGTAACTGTTTCCGATATTCGTTTATCTCCATTGAAAGGCGATGTTAAAATAATGTTTTTCTCAACGAATAAAGTAAATATTTGAATTAAATATTAGTTAGATGTTTTTCTACTTCTTTTTTTATTAGAAAGTTCCAAAAAATTATGATGATTGTGCATTTTATTTTTGGTTTAATACATCATTTATTGAAAATAATTCGTATGTATATAAGAAATGATTTCATAAATAAATTTTATTTTATTTTTAGACTTTTATTAAAACGTGAAGAATTGGATAATCCGCATAAAGCAAAAACTTGGCATATTTTTCGTGAAAAATTTACTGTGTTACTTACATTTAGTAATGAAGCATAAATAAACATTATTTATTTGATTTATTTAGTATTTATTTGGAGTCCTTTTTTTCTTTCTCTAATTGTATTGTACATCAAATTTAAATGTGATTCTTATCAGTGCAAACAAGAAAATTTACTTTTCATTTTTATTTATTGATTGTTTTTGTTAATTTTTAATTTTAACTGTGATTATAATATAATAAAGGATTTTATCAAACAACTAGAAGTACATTAGCAACTATAAAAGGAAAAGAATCTATCAGACACAAGATTGATCCATTCACATCTTGGAGATGAAGGTTTTCTTGTATAAGCATAGGTGGGTATGTGAAATACATACAACATCCATATTTATATCCACATTTTCGATATTTTACAAACAGTCGACTGAAAAGGATAAAGTTGATGATGAGTCTATTCTTCACACAAATTATTAATTATAAACTTATTGTTAAATAAGAATAGGATATCTGACTATTGACTGATGCATTCTGACCTGGACCAGCTTTTACAATTTTTAATATTCATATCGAAAACGTCAGCTGAATTTTGGACGAATTTTACATATCTTCCAAGAGCTAAGTTTTTTAGCAGTATCATCATTCCCCTCACCAAACACTAAAACTACTAACGAAACATTAATAAATCAAAACATATTACGTTTCAGAAATGCAGTATTATTTATTGTTTCTATCAAAAAACCATACGACAAAAAAAAAGTACTCGCATGATCATATTCAGCGATTAATTCACCACCTAAACGTATTTAATCATGCCATTCACGGTTTTATTCCGTTTTTATTCCGTTTAAGTAATTCTTTGATTAGATACCTCTTATCATCACCAAAGGTATTAGACCAAATGACGAGTTCAGTGAGTGTCTAGATGAAAGCATTAAGATAAATACATGCTATAGATAAAGAAAGAATGAGAGTTACTGTGTTGTGTCTTAATGCATCACACAAAGATTGTGCTCCAACATCTCCGATTTTATTGTCGGAGAGATCTAATGTGGTGAGTGT